TCCCAGCCAACTTTCAGAGCTAAGGTCAGCAGAGTACAAAACTCTGCTCAGCAGGGTTAGACAAGTGGAAAGGGGTGGGTAACAATTTGGCTGAATAAATGACCAAGTAGTAGGGGATTACAAAAAACTATTTAAAAAACAACACTTCTGCATTTCTATAATCCAGCAGTAAATAACAGAAACCAGAAGCACTGGTGGTGAGGGTTGGCAGGTTTCTGATGGCAATGGTTGGCTTTGCTTTTTAAATAGCTAGTGGATTTTGGACTGCATCCATCTCCAGCATTGTGACTACACTTCATATAGTAATTTACTTCAAACCAGAGTGTGCTTCTTCAGCCAAGTCTTTGTTTTGTAAATGTCATAGCACTTCAACACCATTAACCAGCCACCCCTATTCTAAGCTGATATTCCTAAATTCAGTAAAAGTAAGTATGAGCAACACTGCAACTGAGTCAAATGAAAATGGAGACTGTATTTGACTCTGCATAGCTCTGAGTGCCAGTGTACTATATTACTTATTTCTCGGAAAGTTCAGGGCAGTTCATTACTGGGCTCACTAATGTTATCCATCCCAAGACCCACAGAAACCAGACAGTCATTCCCACTCCCCATGCAGGATGTTATACGAAAAACTTTGCGCTTAAGGACTTTATGGATCAACTGGGCATTAACTTCCAGGCATTTACTGACAACCAGCAGTCCTGGGTTCCATCCCTGCTACAACTAACTGCCCTCTCCATATCATTCGTGTCCTTCCCAGTTGCCTTATTGGATCAGGCCAAAACAATGTGCAAGCACCACATTGTCAGGGCAACTCCAGCTATTAGAAACTGCAACAAGGTGCTTTCCCAACTATCATTCCCCATTCCATAGAAAGCAGAAGGTAAGCACAGCTTTGTCAAATCCCTTGGGTTTGGAGCGAGAGGAACAGTGCTACAAAGCTTCCCTCCTATAGCTGTGAGAACATGAGAACACCTGGTCCCACCACCTTCATTAAGGTCAAGTGAATGTTATTTCAGAGAAACAAGACCAACCTATGGTCTTGTTTTATGACCTATGGTCTTGTTTTATGTGTTTTATGACCAACCTATTTTCATTCATGAAAGCTTTCTCTTAAGAGGCTGAGTGAACAATTCCTGTTCCTTGCAGTAAAAAACAAGTGCAAAGAACAGTAATTTTTTTGAACTCCTGAGCTCAAAGTTTTTCACCACTATCTCTGACAGCTGCTAATTTGGTGACTGAAAAGTGATGTACATTTAAAAGTACCTTGTTCTGTCCCTCTGCAGAGACCATCAGCAGAACAAATAAATTACCAGTATCTGGATTCTCATTACCTCAAATTAGCTTCAGCATAAGATGACAGGAGCAGAGACAAGCTATCTGTGGGTCCCTTAGGGGCACCTGTTAGCACCACATAAAGGACACAGAAAAGGGAGGCCAGGTTCTCTCTGTTGTCTGCTCCCTACAAAGCCTTCCTGTCAGACCATTAATACCTCTTCTGACAGCAACTTTCAGCCTGCACACCCACAGCACTTCTAATCCACTAACAATGAATTAGTTGCCTTACTTGGAAGTGCCCCAAGGAGTGCAGGGACTGCATAAGGGAATTGGGGGGGGGCAGGGTTAGCAGAAGGATGGCTGTGCCAAGTAATATGTCGCATCACCACAAAGACATAAATCTAAAACAATGCATTTGATTATGTGCAAGCTTCAAAAAATATTGGGGCAAAAAGTAGTAAGTTTAAAGGAGAATCTTCGGGTTATTGAAGGGGAAACCACTTAAAAAATGAAAACATCCCATTTGTCATCCATTTAAACAGGCCTCCTGGGCCTTTCAGGCTGCAGCCACAGGAGAAAGACAGAAAGGCAGGCACATCTTTGGATGGGACAGACTGACTGGGTCCAAAATGCATCCAAACAAAGGCCCCTGTGTAGAGCCAGAGGGTGATATGCCGGGATCCTTACAACAGGCACACTGCTCCTGTTACAGTCTGGAGCACTTGCACACCTCCTGCACTTACTCCACCTTGCCTGTGACTCCATTTGGAGCAGAGAATCACACATCTGTTGAGTGACTTACCATGGCTATGGCTTTTAGGCTACACCATGGACCAAAACATGAAGAGAAAGTAAATCCAGTAGCTTTCCATGAAACCCTCCCCCAGGGGCCTGGTTACATTCAACATGCCAAGCACCAAAGATTTTGTGACGCTGTATGATTTCACCAGAGCTGATTGCGATGAATTCCTAAGCAGCCAGCTGGCCATTTCATTCCTGTCTCTCTCCCTTCTTCCTGTCCTGTGACAAATGGGGAGGGCATTTGGCAGCCCATGCCAATGTGCCTCCTCCTACTCAAATGAGATGTATCAGCAACAGCACTGGAGACAGGCATTCCAGCAAAACACACCCAGCAGAAGCTTGATTTATTAAGTGTTCAGGCAAAGACTGGTTTGCTAATATTGAAAAGTTTAAATGGGGAGAAACAGTGGGGTTGAACCATAGTGCTAAAGCTGTCCATATGTATGGATTGGGCACTAGCCCAAATACAACAAGCCTGCCCACAGCTGTGGCACACTTAATCAAGTCTTAGACTAATTATTTTGCACATCTAAATCTGTGAAAATTGTCTTATTTCAGCTGTGGCAAAGCTACTTAAACAACATTTTCAATTGCAAGAAGAAAAACCAAAACAACATTTCTTGAAGACCAAAATATCCACAGCCAACTACAGCACTGAGGCAGTGCAGAGGCAATATTTAACCCAACTCATATCAAAACTCCTACTCACACGAGAAAGGTTTTTATTATTGATACTTTTGGCATTTGTAGGTCCTCAGAAGTGCCTTTTTACTTTTCTCAAAGCACAGAAGGAAATAAGAACTCAAAAAGAAAACAAAAAACATTCTCTCTGGGTGTCCCCCCTTCCAAAAAAGTTGATCTCTTCCCCCTGAAATTTAATTCCCACCACTATGTTCTCAGAGCTGGACAGCTGAAAATCCATTTATTATACCACAGTACTCTTAAGAATTATTTCATCAGTAGAAGTATAATATTAATGGTATTGTCTGCTTTAAGTGCATAAAAATTAGTTAACACTTCTTTTCCTCAGCGGTCGGCAGCAAGGCTAACTCTACTGCTTTGCTTAGACTACACTAAGAGTACTAAAAATTCTGTATATAAAAATAAATTGTGCATGAAAACTGTACAAGTAAACACTATTTTTTAGCATGTCTGAGTCAGTTCTCTCTGCTGCAAGGAACATGAAATCTGAAAGGTGTCTGAAAGCTTCTAAAATCAGGATGTTCTTTTCTCGGACTGTAAAGTGTGCTGTTGGCACACTCGCTTTATCATTCAAAATAGCAACAAACGAAAACACTCCAAAAGGACAGAGTTAATTCCATGCAAAGATCTTCCTTCTCAGTAAATGTCTCGCACAGCACCACTCTTAGCAACAGAATGTTTATCCAGCACAAGATAAAGAGAGAGGCTTTTCACTGACACCTGAGACAAAACCAAAGAACAAAAGCAGCTCCCGATGCAAGAGAGCAAAGTTAAATTTTTCAAGTGTTCCCACCTAATGTAGACAGAAGGCCAGCCATAGCAAGTTACAACAAACAACCTATTCACCCACTTCCAGAGAATGCTTGTAAATTTAAACTGTGTGAAATGTCTAACTACGTCTTTCATTCCATCAAAAGGCTTCATCAGCAATGGACAATAAAGCCACTGGCTTGACCTAAAGGGGCTGGTAGGTTAATCTATTCTGACCTTATCTTTATTCAATCATAATACTGAAAGATTGCTTGAATGAATAACCAGCATTTAACAATGCCTACTGCCACTCTTTCACTACCGTGCTCCTCTGAAGTGCCCTCCAAACCAATTTTTTAATCACGGGGAATATTAAACATTTTCAAAAATTAATTGTAAAATAAACCAAAATGCCATTTCTCACTCATTTGTCCAAAACAGAAAATAAAAAAGAGGTAAAAAAAACCAAAAGCAGAAGAAAAATTTTATCTTGCCCCTGCATGTCTCTTTCAGATTTTCATCATCATTTATTGTCAATTTTAGACAATATGCTATCTCTTCTTAACTGTCAATCACACCTTTTACTTCTAGTATTTTCACTCAAATGGAAGAAACTAGACAAAAAGAGCTGCTACTTAATAAAACCTGCGTTGTAACAACAGGCTTAATCATACAGGCCTCAACACTTTGTATTTTAATAACTACTGGTTTGTTTTCAAAGCCTATTCCATCAGGGCACTCAGCACTAAACACAGCAAAGCAGCAAGTCAAAATTTAGCACATTCTTAGGCCCACAGAAGTCAGTAAACTGGATTCACCAGTCAATGACTGATTTAATCACTCAGCTCTCATATGTTTACATATGTCACAACCTATATCTAAATGCCCTTCTGGAGAAAAGTCTCCAGAGCTCAACACTACAGTGCACAGTCCTACCCAAGCGTCTTCCTCCTTGTAACAATACAATAACCACCTGTAGGAAGAAACTCCATAGTCTGACGTGACCGTGTTAGAGCAAGGTAGTAGTAAAGCATTTTGACATGAAGCAAGAGCTGTGCTCTCATTTGACACATCAGTTCGAGCACTTACTCTTCAGCATCAACAAGCAAATGCATCTTCATTTAATGTTCTACACCTGTAAATGATTTGGCAAAACACAAGGGAAGATAAAAAAAAGTACAGCCATCAGGCACCAAAATGACACTTGAAAATGCCATTAAAAAAAAATCCATGCCAAGCCCAGGAACAAGGTCTAAGTTTAAATCTATTCCTGATTAGATTTAGGCAGATGCTTGAAATATCAGTCTAGACTAAGTGCCATTACCTTTCTCCAAAAGCACAAAGAACAAGCAAGTCAACCATATGACATTGTCTACAGCATGCGATACCAGAGGAATGAAAAATAAAAGGTAAGAGTTTTTCCTTTGTATTGCAGAGAATACTGCTACAAACTACTCAAAAGTTCCTACCTTGAAAAGCTGTGATATGACCAACAATCATGTACTTAAGTTCGAAGTTCAGTGCCTGAATACTTTGAGTCCTCTCTCTCCGAACAGCGGCCTGGTAGCTTTCTTCCATTTTTTTGGTGCAACACGTTGGCGCCCTGTGCTGACAGATCTGTAAATCTGACTCTTAAAGCAAACAAGAAAAACACAGCAGTTAGAAAACCTTTTAAACCTACGCCATAAAAACAATGCTTCTTAATGTCAGAACTACCATGTTTTAGATTCTGAAACAAAACCAAACCCGCAAGGAATGACGTTGTGAAACTCAGTTGCTGTCACGAGAACATAAATTTATGACCATTTCATCTAAATTTGGGTAACATCACATTATCAGTTAGTAAGTTATTTTACACTGTTAAGAGCACTGGGCAGAAAAAGCATCTGAGCACAGTCAAAGTCAAGGACAACAGAATTATTGACGATACATTTCCACTGTACACCTTGTGCTAAAGGTATCAAAACTTGAACATGTGGGTGATAACCATGCCTCAAATTAGGATCCAATACTCACCCCCACAGTGCCGTGAGGAATCACCTACTCACCTCTTACACTAGGGGAACCAGCTGAAAAAAAAAAACAAATCTTTGAACTCCTAAGCAGCTCACCAAAAAAAACCCAAAAAAATTGTAAAGGCATTGAAATCACTCCCACCTTGCAACTACAGAGGAAGTTGAAAGTCAATTAAAAAACTTGATTTTTATAGGATGTTTTTATTTTTTTAAAAATAATTCCATCTTTGTACATGTTTCATTAAGTTTAGTACCCTTAATTAGGAAACCCACATCACACAGAGTTGTGAATGGACATTTAGGGTCTATCTGTTCTACACCATAGGATTTATAGGTGCCAGAAAGGATCCGGTACAGACTGCAGATGAGTATATTCTGGTGCTTCACAAACACATGTTTTAAGAAGGGGATGAAAGAAAGCAAGAGACTATTAAATAAACTAGAGGCACACAGAAAATACCAGAGCCAAAACAGTCACACGATATTAAAAAGCAGATATTTCCACTGCAATTTCTCAGTGGAGCAGGAACATCCCAGCAGGAAGTCTCACGACAGTGTCAGGCACTTCCTTCCCTCCACTTTGAGGCAGAAATGGTGGTCCTGAGGGAACGGGGTTGCAGGTGTCCACCTCCAACCCATCTCTCAGGCTTTAAGGAGAAGCCTTTCCAAGGAAAGCCAGTGCCACACAGAGGGCCAAGCTCCCCCTCCCACCCCACCAATGGCTTTAGGGGCCATTTTAATGCCCAACAGCACAGGGTGGCACAGCCCAGCTGGGTTGGACCCAAAGCAGTGCTGAGACACCAGCACCCTCCCTGCGCCTGGTCTGGAGCTGGCCTGTGCCCACACTGCCACCTCTCTGCACCCTCTCTGCTTCTAAACCACTGTTAACACCACTAGCAGTCCCCTTCCCAGATGGAAACAGCCCCAGTTCTCAAAAAGGCCATAATTCCTCCTCAGCATTTCTCACTCAGGCCACTGCAGAGCACTCAGGCCAAGCCCCGAGATAGAAACATAAATGAACAATCACACTGCACTAACCCTCACACCTAGCCTTGCAGGTTAACACATGGCAATGCTCCACACAGAACTGACAAGGATTGAAAACAAGAGGATGCAGACTGAAAAATCTGTAGAATCACCCAAACGACCAGGCACTGCTCAGAGCCAGCTCCAGGTTATCAGCAGCTAACTGAGACCAAACCCACAGAGAGAAGTTCAGTAAATCTCCCTTGTCAGGAAAAAAAATAAAAACACCAAGCTGGCTGAAACATCTCATTCAACTTGAAAATGTTGTTTCCAGTTTATAGCAACTCTCATTTAAAAGTGAGGCTAATTTGTGTCAAAAAGGTCAAAAGCAAAGGGAAATATCTGAATTAACCACATTTTTGTACCAGTTTACAAACAAACATCAAAGTTGTCACAGACTGAGCTAACCCAGGATACCATTTTGGAGGTGGATTTGTTTTACGCTTCAGTCTAATCTCAAAAATGGGAAACAACATGTCTCCGCAGTCAGATCTGCAGTCCCAGACCCCGCTGAAAGCCCAAGTTAAGACCATTGTGCCCTGGTAGGAACCAGCAGGCTGCCAAAAGCAGCAGCAGGAAGGCTGCACTTGTCACCAGCTGGGCACACTCCTCTGTTCCTGCCTGCCAGAGAAGCTGCCCGAGGTTGAAATTAGCTTCTTGGCCAGGCTAATTTTAACTTGGGCGGGTTCCCTGATCCAGTTCACCCCCTAACACGTTTGTTCTGTCACAAGGAACTGGGGGCTGGGGAAGGACCACTTCTCTGAGTTGGCACCACAAAGCATGTGTGAAATTATAGTACAGGCTGCTGAGCAACTCAGTGCACAATCAGGTGTCCAAGCAGAGGGGTTGTAAATGTTATTTGGCATCCGCAGTGCCAGGCTGCTGATACTCAGAGCACTTCTCCTTACTCAGCAGCCCTCTGAATTTTTTGTTTGGAAGGCTTTTGCAAAGCTCAGACTTGTATCAAAAAGGTCTGAAATATCTAGTGCTCCATGCTGACTGTGTGCTGGCCCTGGCCAGGAAGCTCTCCCTGGCTATCAGTGCTGTGCCTGGTGCTCCCATTTGAACCTCAGGAACCCGCGTCTCCTCCAGAAAGCTTTAAGAATACAGATATCTCGGCTGGAACTGCACTCCTGGGATTCCCCGCCCAGCTATCTCCTCCGATGAGCCTGAAGATTAGGTTTCCTTGGTCCAGAGCCAAAATGATACAGAAGCCACTCCTAAATAGAAACAGCACTAAGCCCCTGACAGTTAAGGAGCCTGATGTAAAACACAGAGCACTGAAAGCAAACTCCCCTCCCCTCACAGTACTGTCGGGTCAGTGCTGTCATGCACAGCTTGACACTTTCACTGGCTTCAGAACTAGCCTGAGGGTATCACTTTTAACACAATTATAGAAACCTAATAAAAGTTTTCAGTACTATACATGCCTGGGTGCTGAGATTAAATTAGAACTCATTAGTAATGTCTTAATGTCTTTAATAGCTCTGATACTAATTTTAGTTTATCTCATCTCTTTCATCTTAATAAAGAATACCCTCTCCAAGAGGAGAAAAAGAGGGGAGGAACACAGTGACCCAGCAGTGACCGAGGGACTGAGCACCCCACAGTGCTGTGGCAACACCCCTGCTCATATGTGCTCTGCATATCAGCAAAAGGGAGACAACCCTAAGGGCAAACTCCTCTTCAAGTTTAGGAACAAAGTCATTCTTTACACCAGAGAAAAAGCACCATTTGTGAAAGAGGGAAGAAAAGTTACCAAGAGCATCATTTCAGTGATAGATTCTGCTAATTTCCCTCTAGGACTTTCTTACCTGCTTTTCCCAAGCTGCCTCTCGTTTCCTAACTCATGATTTAGTTTGGAGGAACCTCTAGTTCAACCCTTTAAAGCAGGGGTTTTTTATGTAGGATGAAGCCCTACACAAGGGATTCATCCAGCCAAGTTTCAAGTACCCCCAGAGAAAAAAAAAAGTTACTACTACTCTCATGGTAAAATAAGTGAATTAAAAAATCCTATCTAAAGATAACTTCCCATGTTCCAACTCGTGTCTGTTGCTTCTCAGTGTATCACCGTGTGCCTGCAAGAATCTGACTCCACTTTCTCTATTTTCTGCCAAAAGGCAGCTGAAGACAGCAGTATGACCTCCCTTAATCTTCCCTTCAACTGAACAAACCTAGCTCTCTATTCCCTCATGTTCCAGCCCTGACCATCATGGGAGCCCTCTGCTAGGACTCTTAACTTTATGCCACAGATGTGAAGCACCTGCATCCCAAGACACCCCTCTCTGTATTCTATTTTCTTATGCATTAACTTACTGACAGATGTCTGTTCCTCCTGCCTCAGGTAATCTGTGGCCAGGCCCACCCAACTCACATTTTCTGACTATTCAGAAAGAACCTTCCAATCTGTTTCCAACTCTTTCCTCTATTTTGTTAAAATAATCCTACTGTCAGCTTTAATATAAAGATTACATAGACAAACAGCATGTTAAAAAGACCCTTTAAAGCAAAAAGCTGACAAAATACCAAAGCAGAGCCTGAATGTGTCCCATCTGTCTATATGCAGCTTGTCAACGTGCCTATATCCAGCACAGCAAATTACAAGTGCAGTTTGGAAAACACAAGCCATGAAAATTTCCTTTCCCTGATCCCTTGTTGCATAATGTACATCAACAGAGACACTTTTTAACTTGACCACTGGACTTTACATTCTCACTGTTCTTCTGAAATACACCAAAGCATAACTAAGGCCATGACCAGATGTGCTATTCCAGTTGAAACAATCAAGGATAAAAGACAAACACCTCCAGTGTTATCAAGCACCACTTAGATAACATGCTAATGTAACTACTAGCGTGTGTAGCTACTTTCAACTCTGTTAAATCAAATAGCTTGCATTAGCCTAAGAGTGCCTGAGTAGACCTAAAAAAAAAAAATAAAAAAAATAATAAAACCCCACAAAATGGGAAGACCATTTGATTGCACTGCAATTACACCAGCCAATTTAAGGTGGGTGGAAATCCTGAATGGGACAGGAAAGGGGACAGTGAGAAGCACTAGATGTCATGACTCCAGAGAGTTGGCAGCATCAGCAAGTGCCACAGCTTGCAGGGCAACTGGAGACTATCAGGCACTGGCCCTGATCAGCTTCCAGAGCAGGAACTCTCCAAAATATACAGCTCTTAAGAGCAGCATCTGCACAATTCAGTATTGTTAGGCCTGTTGCTAAGTTCATTTTGTCTGAGTTTTTCCCATTTCCCTCTGCTGCTTGCCTGGTTCTCATCGCTCTTGTATTCTGTTTTTTGGCCTGGTTTCCAAGCCACCTTCTGCCCTACCCCATAGGGTACTGCATGCCTATTAGCTTTTTTTACCTTGGCTTGTGCCCCACTGAACCTGCCTCATGCCTGGGCCCAAGTGACATTAAAACAGACTGCCCTAAAACAGACGTCCCTTTAACTTGCTGAAACCTCAAAAACTGTAACCAGGTCCTCTCTTTCCTCCTCTGAGTCCCTCTCCACACTTCTCACCCTCCTCAGACAAGGTTCACAATTCAAGACTTTCCAATGCTTTTTCAGGAGTTTGCTGGGAGA